TGCGAGGGCTCACACCTGTGATTCCATCACTCCAGGGGGCAGAGGTGAGAGCATCGCTTGAACCCAGGAGTTTGAGCCCAGTCTGGGCAACATAGCAAGACCCCATCTCTACAAAAAATAAAAAAATCAGCTGGGTGTGGTAGCGTGCACCTGTGGTCCCAGCTACTTGGAAGGCTGAGGCAGGAGGATGGCTTCAGATCACTTCAGCCCAGGAGTTCAAGGCTGCAGTGAGCCACTGCACTCCAGCCTGGGCGACAGAATGAGACTGTCTCAAAACCAAAAAGAAAAGAAAAAAGAAATGGGTGAGGGGCATGGTGTGTGAATTCTGTCCCAGCACAACCATTAACAAGTAAAACGTCCCTGAAGAAGAAGGAGGACCCAGAGAGGGAGCACAGAGTTCAGGCACCGCCTGCACCCAGTCCCGGGCCCTGCTGTGCGGCAGTGCTGGGGCAGAGGCCTGGAGAGGGACACAGAGGGGAGATGCCCCATGTGAGGGCTGCCACAGAAGGGAGTCAGAATCCCCCACGGTGGCTGGAGGGAACATGGATCTCAGAGCTTTCAAGGGGGGAGAGAGTGCAGTCCCTTGGGTGTTGCCAGGAACCACATGGCAAAGAGGTCAAAGCTGATCCAGAGAGAGGCGCCAGCATCCCTGCTCCCCACCACCGACTCTACACCCGAAGCAGCTCCGCCACCTCCACAGTCTTCCAGGCTCATCAACACCTGCTGACCGCAAGGCTCCCGGTTCCCTGCTAGCCAGCCCTTGCCCAGCCTGCCCTCACAGCTGCTCTGCAACCCTGGGTCTGGGCAGAGGGGCAGGGCTGCCCGGGAGCTGACTAAGCACAAAGGCAAACCAGCTCAGAACTGACTTAGCTGTGAACAAGTGCAGGAAGGGCCGCCAGGCAGATGCCCGCCAGCAGGCTGTGCTCTCGGGACCAGGCAGCAGCCTGACCGTGCAGGAGCTGACGCCACAGCTGGCAAGAACGCACCTCAATTCCCTTCTCATAAAAGTGGAAGGAGCCAAAACCCAGAAAACTCACTTATCCAAAATCAGCCACATCAAAGCAAAACAATTATGTATGGACCGCCGGCCACCTCTTTCCCACCAGTAGAGACAGCAGAGTCCAACACAGGAATGAAAGGCCAGCTGCAGGGTTCATTGAGGGAGGTCTGGCAGTCCCTATTAAACTTGGGAAAGTCCCAGCCACCCCAGCCACCTCCAGGCCCAGGCATCTGGCCAGAGACAGGGATGCCCATGATGGTTTGGGGATGGAAAACTGGGCTGCAGACGGCTTTTCACAGGTTGAGTAGGTCAAAAGTATTTCCCTAATACTATGGAATGACTCCTCTTTCTGTTCTCATTCTCTCCTAGGGAAGAACAACAGTGAACACCTGAGGGGTGCCTGCGACAGGGGATGATGGCATCCCTCTGCTGGCCAGCGCAGTGAGCTGCGTATTCTCACGCAGTCTCAGCTCCCAATGTGGGAAATACTGGTAGTTATAACCAACATAAACAAGAACTCTTTCAGGGAAAAGGGCTTGGGGACTGGTACACTGCAAAGCATTTACAGCAACACTGTCTGCACAGGGTCAGAAGCAGCCCCAGTGGGGACACCCTCGAAGCCCACAGCACAGCCACTCTGGGACCGCACAGATGGAGCAGTGATGAGAAAACACTGCGGAGCAGGACTCTGTGGGTCCCAGGATGCTACAAAACACAGCTGAAGTTTATGCACACAGCGCTTCAAGAGCGGTCACCTCTGTGGAGGGACAGTGTCTCACACCTGTAATCCCAGCACTGTGGGAGGTGTCACCTCTGGGCAGGGACCATGACTCACACCTGTAATCCCAGCACTGTGGGAGGGGTCACCTCTGGGCAGGGACCATGACTCACACCTGTAATCCCAGCACTGTGGGAGGGGTCGCCTCTGGGCAGGGACAGTGGCTCACACCTGTAATCCCAGCACCCTGGGAGGGCTTACCTCTGGGCAGGGACCATGACTCACATTTGTAATCCCAGCACTGTGGGAGGTCAAGGCAGGTGGATTGCTTGGGCCCAGGAGTTGACCAGCCTGGACAACATGGCAAAACCTGGCCTCTGCAAAAATTACAAAAAAATTATCCAGGCATGGTGGCGCATACCTGTGGTCCCACCTACTCGGGACGCTGAGTTTATCTGAGCCTGGGAGGTCAAGGCTGCAGTGAGCCATGACTACACCACGACACTACTCCAGCCTGGGTGACAGAATGAGACCCTGTCTGAAAAAAAAAAAAAAGTTGGGGAGGAGAAGTGGGCTTATGAGGTGAGACTTTATAAACCGCAAAAGCAAAAGCAAACCACCTCTACTTGTGCACAAAAGAAAAACAGGGTCCACCACAGGCAGCATATCTGCGTCAGATTCAAACACCTGCCTCTTCGGAACGGGACTGGCTCCAGCACTGCTCACAGACGAGCTTGGCTGCCAACAGGACGGGACTGGGCAAGAAAGATTCCTTTACAGCCTGAGCACTGCCTGCAGGGTGCGTTCATCAGCACGGGATGGGCTGCACAGAGGCAAACAGAATCACAAACAGGGTCCCCTGAAATCCAGAGCAAACCAAGGAACCAAAACCTCCTTCATGCATGAATTCCCTTCCACTGGCCAGGCTTCTGGCCCTCAAGTACCACACCCCAAACCTCAACCCAGGAAGGGGGCCTGGAAATGTGAGTGACTGGCCGGTTTTCCCTGAAGGGGGCTGGATCTGGCCCCTGGGAACTGAGCTGCACACATTAAGAAATCTGTTGGTTATGGACAGATATGTTTCCATTCAGCTCTTACATCACAACACACCTTTCCGAATTAACCTATGTACTGTTTACCGAAACAAATGTTCCTTCTAAACAAACATAATGCAAAATTCCACATAGCCTTTAAGAAAAATGAAAATTCAGAGACAATATGTTGCTAAACAAAAGTGAATTAAGTTACCCAATTTAATATCAACCAGGAGAAATATGTGTATACAGTCGAAACACAACAAAAACGCTGGAACTCAGAATCAAAGATTACTGGAAAGAATGTCTGCACAGCAAAACTCTTCTCCGTTTGAGACTAAAACGCCCCCCCATGCTTAATGTTCCTGACATTTCTGAGGCTTTGAAGCCGCAGCGAACAGATCTGAATCATCCGAACAAAACCATCTTATAGTGATACGTTACTGGAAAGCCTAGAATAGAACGCCAAATATACAGACACACACCCATGCCAGGCACTTTTGTAAAAAACGATCAAACATAAACCTAGTTGGAAGTGTGAGGGAAAGCAGCTCATCCCCGGCAGGCCCGTATAATACATACGAAGAACACAAAAACAGCACCTTTTGTTAATAAAAACCAAACCTAGCCTGTGTGTGAACTCAGCTTCATCAAACACTTCACTCATGCCTGCCGCCAGCAAAGACACAAGACCTCCTCCCGAAACGGAACCCATGCGTGCATCAGTGGCACACATCCATCAGAAAGCTGGTAGGCGCCCCACTGTTCACCTAGGAGCGAGGGAGGGAACGTCCCTGGCTCCACAGCCTCCATCTGGGCCACTTGGAGCCGCACTCTGCTTTATTTGGGTTGGCAGCACGAGCACCAACAGCAGGGTGGCACTGTGGCTGAAATGCCGAACTAGGTCAGCCTGGCCTGTCTCTGGGGAGCTCCCAGTGCGCCCTGGGCCTCTGCTCCCTGGTCTCTCCAGAGATGGGGCCGCCCCCGGATCCTGGGTGGGACTGAGGCTTGGGTGGGAGTGGCCCTAGAAGGTAAAGGCCATAGGCAGTCAGTATTCCCTTTCTGGCCCTGAAGACCTTCTTAGCATCTTTTTCTTTAATAAACAAGAAACATAGAGTCCTACCGGGCTTTCAACAGACTTCCCTTATTTAAGAACTAAATAGATACTAAGTTACAGGGTTAAATGAGGGCATCCTACCCTCTGGCCCTGCAGGGACAGACAGTGAGGCCAGCACCGGGCATCAAGGACCTGGGGGTGACAGCCAGAGTGAAGGGCCTAGGGTCAGAGGATGGGGGCCCGGGGTGGGAGTCACAGGCTGGAGTTTGGGAAGCAGGCTCAAGGCCCAGGCTTCAAGAGCAGGATACAGGATTCAGGGGCACCAGCAAGCAGAGTTAAGGACAGGGTTCAGAATCAGGTTTGGGGCCTGATTCTGGAACCAGGGTTCCAGGTTCAGGGGTCGGGGACAGGGGCTCAGGGCCACAAGCTGGGGCCTGAGGTTGAAATTCAGGATTCGGAGTCAGGCTATAATGGCTCTGGGTGCAAAGGACCACAGTTTGGAGGCTGGGATTCAGGGTTTGGGGAACAGGGACAGGATGCTGGGGCTACAATCCAATGTCAGAAGTTCCTGGGTTAGGGTTTGTGGTTATGTTTCAGGATTTGGGACCCAGTGTTCAGGGACCAGAGACAGAGGTTTGAGAGCTGGTTCCATAACCAGGCTTCTGCAGAAAGGATGCGTGGTTCCAGTGACCATGGATCTGGGGCTCACGCCGGGGCTGGGGACGGGCTCTCCAGGGCCAGGGTTCTGAGGACTCTGAAATCAGGGCTAGGGCTGCGTTTGGTGCGCACAGACGCGGTTTCTGGGGTTCCAGGGACTGTTACCAGGGGTTAGGACACAGTTTTAATATTGGAGTTTCGAGGTCAGGATTTGGGGACAGGAGTTCAGAGGTCCCAGGGTCAAGGGTCAGCTGCTGGAGTCTGGAGGCTGGGGTTCCGGGGTTCAGGGTCCAGGTCTTCAGGTCTCCGGCTTGGGGATCAAGTCAGGGGTCTGGGCTCCCAGACTTGGGGATCCGCACAGGAGTCTGGGGTCCCGGGTACAGGGATCAGAGTCTGGGGCCTCGGGGTCTGGAGGTTCACGGTCCAGGGTCCAGGGCTGGGAGTTCGGGGCCCCAGGGTCAGGGTTGGGGGTCCCGGGCTCGGGCTCGGGCTCGGGCTCTGGGTCCGGGCCTGCCGCCGGCGCGGGGCACTTACGTCGTCGAAGAGCGAGCCCACGTTGGCCGTGACCAGCAGCACCGCGGTGCCCGGGGCGGCCGCCTTCCCCGCCATGGTGCCCGGGCGGCGCGGGCGCTGGGCTGGGCGGCGGCGGCGGCCGCTTCCTCCGGGACCGGCCGGCCGGGGTCTCCGCGGGGCCGCGGGGCGTCAGCTGCGCTGGGGGGCGGCCCCGGGACGCATCGCGGGCTCGGCGGGTCGGCCGGGCCTGGCCGGGGCTCCGGCCTCGCGCTCGCTCGCTCGCTCGCTCTCTCGCGGCTCCGCGGCCCCGCGCCCGTCGCTCGCCGCCGCGCCTCACAGCGGCCCGCGCGCAGCCATTAGATCCGCTGGGAAAGTTCCCGCAGCCGCCGCCGACTCAGGCTGAGGGCAAGTCCCGCCCCGCGGAGCCGAGCCCGGGGCGGGGCCTGCGTGGGGCGGGGCCTGCGTGGGGCGGGGCCTGCGTGGGGCGGAGCCTGACTCGGGGCGGAGCCTGACTCGAGGCGGGGCCTGCGCGGGGTGGAACCTGGCCCTGGGCGGGGCCTGTGCGGGGAGGGCTCTTGCAGGGACGGAGCCTTGCGGGGCGGGGCCTGCATGGAAACAGGGGCCGTCTTTGGAGGCGTGGCCCGCTCCGGGGAGGGGTCACCCATTGGGGCGTGGCCTATAAGGTGGGGCTCCTGCGTCCGGCGGCCTGCTACTGGCCGCTCCTCGACCGCGCTCCTGTCAGTCAGGCTCGCAGGAGCGCCGCGCCCCCGTCCCGCCCCCAGCGCCGCGGCTGCGCACAGGCTCCGCCCTTCGCGCTTCTATGACGTCACGGCCTCGCTCCGGCGGCGCCTCTTAAAGGGGCCACGTGTTCCGGGCGCCTGCGGCTGGTGCGCTCCCCTGCGGCTCCGAGGGCGCCCTCCCACCCCCACGAGGGTGCGGCCCCCGTAGTCCAGCCGCGCGCCTGGCGGGCCGGGGTGGGGAGCCCACCGGGGCGGCGGCACTCGCGCTTGCAGGGGCCGCGCCCGGCCGTAGGCGCAGTCGGGGGTGGAGTCCGCAGTCGGCTCCGGAGCTGCGGCTTCACTTGTGAGGGGCGG